ACAATTCCAAATGTTAGCCTAGAAATTCATACAAGTATCAAGTCAAGGTGATGCGCAGGTGCAAATGTAACAAACCAAACTGCAGGAGGACAGCCATTCTCTCCTAAGTTATGATGTTTACTGTAGATGCAGCTAAATAGTGACACATCTCCAGGCTCTATGGCACAGCCAAGCAAAGGATCAAATTCCAAAAAAATTGACCCAGACAGAAAATGGATACAATTGTTAAAGCGCATGAAATTCCACATGTGGCAACAAAAACATTATTTTAATTAATTATGCAGAAACCCAGAGCTTTCAATCAATGATTTAACAAGATTATGATGGAAGAGTAGGAAGGACCAGAAAAGTGTTGACCAACAGATATTGCCAGCTCAAATGCATAAAGAGTATAGGCAATGCATGTTCTCTAGGCAATGCATAAATGCATGTTCTCTAGGCAATGCTAATGCTAATGCTCTATCTCACTAACATGAATTCATGTGCACCAAGATTAATTCAGTTCTGTTTATAACTACAGAATGATCATAACTTCTATAAGCTACCACATAATTTTGTATATTATTTAATGTTTTCTGTTTCCAAATAACTAAAGCGCACAAGCAAATACACGTGCTGCATATGATTAAACACAGCCAGACCTCGAAAACTGGGATGCCAGGGAAGCCATCATCAGAGAAACCAGCCCTTTCCCTTTCCTATTAAAAGAAAATATAACAAAAATCATTTTCTTGTATCAGTGAGCGAATTGGTAAAACATAAACACTATCAATCTCAACAAGCGCATGCAGGGAACATGGATTATTTTTGAGACTGAAAACATACCATGATATGTTGTCATGTCAGATAAAGGAGTGTTAAGTTAGCAGAAAATGCTATTTGGTTAGCAAGCTTTTTACCCTTTAAGAGTTTGGCCAAAATGAGTCAGCCATTGTTCCTGTCGACACAGCTTATGACTATACAGAATTCTATATGTGCTTTCTAATGAAATCAGGAAATCTTTGAAAGCACACAGTTAAACTAGCCAAGGCCAAACTTGACCGTAAACATCCTTCCTGTTGTATCTCCAGTCCCAAGACCATGGAATGTCTTCAGAGGAGTATGGCTGCTTGTGCACAGACATGCACAGATAAAAAAGAAGAAAACTAAATTCAATGAAGAACAATAAAATTATTTAGCCTTTGTAACTGACAGAAGAAAAGAGTGACCTCATAAATGTTATGACCATAGCTAGTACTGCAGCAACTGTGCAAAATCTCCCAAAAAAACACATTAGTGTGATTTCTTTCAACATACTTCTGAACCAAAAGTTGAGTTCTCCAATATGCTAAGTTCTTTACTTCATATTTATCGGTTGATAGAGATCCTCCAAATCACTAGGAACTTAAAAGGTTTTCTAAAATATAAGGATTTTATTTTTAAGTAATGCACCAGCTCTTTTAGAGCACAATTGTTAATCAAAAACAGAAACTACTGACACTTTGGCTACTTATAAGGGCTTCATTCAGTTTGTAATAGAAACCCAACAATTAGAGGTAAGAAAAATTGCAGATATAAATTAAGTGAAGCACAATGAAGAAGTAATTGCCATTTAGCTCTGCTATTTTAACAGAGGTATCCCAGTCAACAATTACAAAGGTTCTACAGGAGAAAAAGAATCTTGAAAGTGATAATTTTAAATGCAGACACTGAAGTAGATTAGGCTCCAAAAGATAATTCTCCTCCCAGAAAATGTGACCATGTAAATTAGTTTCACACTAAAAAATATTCATAAGATAGTCTCTTTTGCATATACCAGTCAA